TGTCAAAGACTTCTCTGTGGCTGCGGAGAAGACGAGTGGCAATAATGGGGGTAAAAGTGTCTTTGGCAGATATGGCATCGGAGCCGCATAGCTCTCAAGAATGAGATGTGCATTTGTACCGCCGAATCCGAAAGAGTTGACCGAGACTCGCCGCGGAACGCCGGGAGCCAGAGTAGGCCACGGTACCGTTTCAGTTGGCACTCGCAGATGGGTAGTGTAGGGTGCGATGCTGGCGTTGATGCGATCGAAGTGCATGTTAGGGGGGATGACACCATGCTGGACGCAGAGGGATGCCTTAATAATGCCGGCTAGACCCGCCACACTCTCGGTGTGACCGATGACCGTCTTGATAGAGCCCACATACAGAGGGTTCTGCGGCCGGGATCTCTCCTCGAACAGGGCATCGTATATCGCCGTTGCCTCCTGGGGATCGCCAGCCTGGGTCCCAGTCCCATGGGCCTCGAAGTACTGACACCGATCCTCCGGACGACTCTTAGGGTCCAGGCCAGCGCTGGCATAGGTCGACTGAATCAGCCTCGACTGGGCCGTCCACGAGGGCATGGTCAGACTCATACTGCGGCCATCCGCGTTGACCCCCGTCGCACGCACGATACATTCTATGGGATCACCGTCCCGTATTGAATCGCTCAACCGCTTCAAAACCACCGCGGCAATACCCTCTCCCCGGGCATATCCATCGGCATCCCGATCCCACATTCGACATCGACCAGTCGGTGACAGCAACCGCAACTTGGAGGCAGCAATATACTCCCGCGGGCTGAGGATCAGGTTACTCGCTGCCACGACGGCGACAGGGCAATCGCCCTTCCGCAACGCATCCACCGCCTGATGCATGGCAACCAGACTCGACGAACAAGCGGTATCGATGGTGATTGAGGGGCCATGCCAGTCGAAGAAGAAGGAAATGCGGTTAGACAGCATAGAAGCAGCCCCGCCAGTGGAAGTGTAGGTGGGGATATCGTCCCAGTCGTTCGTGATAATATTGCTGTAATCTGTGTTCATCAGGCCGCAGAAGACGCCCATGTCCGAGTCCTGCAGAGTCTCTATGCGTAGACCTGCGCGCTCCAGGGACTCGTAGACTACCTCCAGCAGTAGTCGTTGCTGAGGATCCATGGCCTCGGCTTCGGTGGGGGAGATGTTAAAGAAAGAAGCATCGAACTGCTGGATGTTCTCGGACAGGAAGTAGGATTCCGGGGCAATTCCCGTGCCGTGGTGAATCTCTGGGTGATAGAATGCATCGTGGTTGAAGCGATTGCTAGGGGTCTTAGAAGCGAGGTTGCGAGGAGAGCGAAGAAGGTCCCAGAGCTTGGAAGGGGAAGAAGTTGAGCCTGGGAAGCGGTAGCCCGTGCCAATAATGGCAATCGGTTCGGGAAAGGAAGGCATGACTATAGCCGCGGGCCTACCTTATAGAGGCAGCAAGTACACAAATACACACCACTTGGTCTCACACCAAGAGAATGGAAAGAAGAAAAGAACGAAGTATTATACTCAAGACAGAGTCGGTTCTTCAGCTTGCAGTTAAGTGCATGTTCTCGACCTTCTTTCTGTCTGTCTGTCTGTCCTTCCTTCTATCAACCAATCGATACAAGATGCCCTCCTGGTCTGCAACATGCACACAGCAGCAGGCTATCGCGGAAAGTATATCCATCTCGCTTGTAAGTATCTCGAGGATTCTGGCTACCAAACGAGTCATCATTCTCCAAGCAATGAACATGAACAGCCTCGTTTTTCGTGGGGGCGAGGAGATCATAGCTGAAACCAAGGGAAGATGCAAGCTGGACGCCTATCGGTTGCGAGGACGCACAGTACCACTGTGCATTGTTAGTTGCCTCGGAAGTGAGTAACTAATGAGTGAGCGATAACCATCCAGGTGCAGAAGATTCCAATCCAGTACATGCACTGTACTAAATTAGTGGCAGCCTTAGCACGAACGGGATTACTTCCTCCTCCCCTCACCATTGGCGGGGTTGCCCTCGAGTCAGTCCCCGACGCCAAAGCCCAAGGAACCCCTCACACCATCGCGTGGGAAGGAAGGCTGAGTCCTGCCTCTTGTGTCTTACTTCTTCCAAGTTTCCAATCAGCCGGGCTGATTGGGGAAATAGTTCCGACACCAACGCCAACACGAGGAAGACATAGAACTATAAGCCAAGCTGATAATACGAGATCTTGCAAAAGGGACGCAATCATTCTAACGAATGACGTAGCGTCAGCTCAGGATGGAATTGCTTTCCTTCTGGAATAAGCTGAATCGCATTGTCCATTGCCTATTGTCCGGCGGGGGTTGTCCAGATGCATGGTCTGGAAGCGTTTGCTAATGATGATTGAGGTAACAACTTGCAAACGACCTACTTGGTTAGTAGAACTAGTAGACTTGGTAGACTTAGGTAGTAGCAAACAATAGCCAGACCAAGCAGTGGGGGAAGAGGGGGTAAGTGACAGTGGCTGGCTGCGTACAGCCCTAGTATACTTGCTTCCATTCCCCATCCTTCCAAATACCTTCAGCCACCAAGCAGCACGAGTCTGCCTCGATTGGTGTGACAGATAACGGTTGGTGTGAGCTTATCTTTTTTTTTTTTGCTTTTTCTTCTCAATCTCATAGACAATGCGTCTGACTTCTGCAGCAGCCCATTCTTTGACTCGGGGGCGGATACCCCAATTGGTCTCGAGTAAGCCCAAGGCTGAATAGCCGAGCTTTCAGGATGCAAGCGACAATAGAGATATCGAGGGCTTTAAAGCAGTCAGTCATTGCACATGCATTCCTTCCAAGGCATACTCAGTCAGTATCAATGCAAACATGGATGTAGTGTCTTTCGCATTCAACGGTCCGGTCGAGTACGACCAGACCCGACCTCTATACATTGACGCTCGAGATGCCTCGCGCAGTCTGAATGCTTATCAACTCAAGCATCTCGTGCAGACCCTGGTAGCCGGATTGAAGCGCCATGTTGAGCCCGGGGAAGCGGTCTTGGTTCACCTGGGCAACAGCGTGAGTATAGTACCAATCGACCTGTCCCTGTCCTCACAACTGCCTGTATCCATGACTGACAGCCAGACCACTCCGCCAGTTCGTCCACTCAGCCCTATTCTTCAGCATCCTCGGAGCAGGGAATGTCTACATCGGCGCCGGACCCGACAGTCCACCGCTTGAACTGGACAACGTGGTCAAGGCAGGCGAACCCAAGCTGATCATCACCACCAGCGCAACCCTCGCCACCGTGCTCGAAGTCACCTCAGCGCGAGGCATCGCAGCGAACCAAGTCTGCGTCTTCTCCGAGGACACCATCCTGAGCTTCCTCCACAGCCCCGACACCCTCACCCCAGAAAAGCCACCGATCACCCCCACGACCCCCCAACCCATCCCGCTAACCACCCTCCTAACCCACGGCACCAGCCCCTGGACCCCCCTCACCGCAACCCAGGCACACACCACGCCCGCCTCGATGTTCTGCACCAGCGGGACCAGCGGTCTCCCCAAAGCCGCGATCCTCTCGCACGCCAACATGATCACGCACCACCTCAGCAGCCACTACCCCACCCCAAACCCAACAACAAGCCGCCTAATCGCCATCCCAATGCACCACCTCTACGGCGCGGTGTGGACGCACATCTTCCCGGTCCGCTACGGCTCGCCCGTCTACAGCCTGCCGCGCTTCGAGATCCACGCCTTCCTGCAAGCCATCCACACCCACCAGATCACCAACACCTACCTCGTCCCGGCCATGGTGCACATCCTGACCCAGACCACCCTCCCCATAGAGCCCAAACTCGCCTCCCTCCGCTACTGCCTCGTCTCCGCCGCCCCCATCGACGTCCCCGCCCTCGACCGGCTGCAATCCCTGCTCACCCATCCCTCCGCCATCGTCACCCAGAACTGGGGCATGACCGAGACCGGCCTCGTGTTTCTGTCGCCGGCCACGGATACCGTCCACGACAAAGCGAGCATTGGCCGCGTGCGCGGGGACGGGGTCGAGGTGAGGCTTGTTGATCCCAGGGACCACGGGGCCGTTATTGAGGAGGACGGGAGGGCCGGGGAGATGTGGGTCCGTGGGCCGGGGATATTCCTGGGGTATAAGAATCGTACTTCAGATAGTAATGATGACAAGGAAGAAGGGGGCTGGTTTCGGACGGGGGATATGGTGTTTCGGAAGCAGGGGCTGTATTATTTGTTTGGGAGGGTGAAGGAAATTATCAAGGTTCGGGGGTGAGGTTTCTCTCTTTACCCTTGTCTTTTTCATGGCGTCGGAAGAAGGTATGCAATTGGGGCTGGGTGCTAACAAGTGTGAGTGTGAGTGTGCAGGTATTCTGTCGCCCCTGCGGAGATTGAAGATGTGCTGGTTCAGCACCCCGGCATCGACGACGCGGCTGTACTCGGGGTGCAGGCAGGTGATGGCAGTGGGACGGAAGTGCCCAGGGCGTTCGTGGTGAGGAAATCACCGGCATCATCTAAAATCACGGTTGAGGATGTCTATGACTTTGTCGCGGGCCGGCTGGCGAGGTATAAGGCGCTGGATGGGGGGGTGGTGTTTGTGAGCGAGATTCCCAGGACGGCAACGGGGAAGATTCAACGGGCCAAGTTGGGGCAGATGAATGCGCAGAGGGAGAAGATTGCGAAGCTGCTGGCGGCGAGGAAGGTTGCTGTGGAGGCTGTTGGGTAGGTAGGTAGGTGTCTGGTTTTGGTTGTCTTGTACCCAGGATTCATGGAGATCTTGTGTATCATGTCGATATCTTCCTCCGAGCCGTTCAATACTTACTATAGATGAGCTTTTCTGGGAAACTGAAAGAAAGGGGGGTCCGGGGGTTCTCCCCCGGAGACCGACCATTACGGGAATTAGATTGAGTGCTACTGGAAAGTTGGAAGTCAATACGAGGCATATTTTCAGTGGTGAACCATCGGTCTATCATCCCCGCATCGGGGTTTCATTCATATACATCATCTATGGGTATCTATGCAGCAAACATAACAACATACAACACGACTATCACTGGCTCTCATCAATGCCAGCACCACCACCCATCTCCAAACACAACTCATCCAAGCTCCGGAAACCTTCCTCAACCACCCACTTCTGTCCCTGCGCCGGATGCAGAACATAGCAACTGGCTCCCACAACCAACAGCCCAGGGGGCCTGGACCCCTCCGCCTCGAATGCAGCACTCACATGCTCCAATGTGGACCGGATCACCCGCTGATCCGTACACGAAGCCCGCTCAATGATCGCACAGGGCGTCTCCTTCGGCCAGGGCGTCCGCGTTGGCTGCGACGACTCATCTTTGTCATCACTCGCCGCTGGCAGCGTGGTCAAAGACTCCACCAACGCTGACAACCGGTGCAGCGCCATCAGAAACACCACCGTTTGGGTTGGCACGTATGTCGGCGGAGCGGGCGCGGCGCCCTTGCGACCTGTACCCGTACACACCAGCACCTGGTCTGATACTCCGCGGTGGGTGGCCGGGATGTCTGCGAAGAGCGGCGCACTCAGGGCACTTGTGATACCCGGCAGTACAATTGGCGCGTAGCCCTGGCCGCGGAAGAACTCGAATTCCTCGCCGCCCCTCCCATACAAGTAGGGGTCTCCTTGCTTGAGACGGAGGACGTGCCGGCCTCGACGGAGCGCCTCCAGCCCCATCTGCAGGAACTCTTCTTGCGCTTGGTCCGCATTACCGGGAAACTTGCGCGCGATATGCACCTCCGTCCGGCGCGGGATCAGCTCCAGGACCGGAGCAGGTACGAGTTTGTCGGCAAGGATGAGGTCGGCATTTTGGATGGCGTTGTAAGTGGCCCGGGTAAGGAGGTCCGGGTGGCCGGGGCCGGAACCAGCCAAGACAATCTTTCCTCGTCGGGCCAGACTGCTCGACTCATTCTGGCTGCTGTTGGTGGGTTGGTCTTTGCCAGCTGAATAGGCCTCAAGGATGGTCTCGATATCGGCATCCGTGATGGCGGCGAGCTTGCGGAGGGGCCAGTACTCGCAAATCTGCGAGAGCCAGCGCACGCGTCGGGTTTTGGCGGCGGAAATGTCGTCCTCGGTCACTAGGGTGTTGAATGTATGGCGCTGACCGGTGGAGTCGTCCTCGTCACCCTCGAGTGCCGTATCACACAGTCCGGCTGCGTGGTCTTCAGCCCAGAGCCGCTTCCTCACGGCGCCCAGTCTGTCAATGGCGCTTCCGAGATTCGATGGCAGCGAAGACGAGATCTCTCGCCGCAGCCGAGACGCCAGTTTACACCCGCGTCCCGACGTCGTGATGCCAATGTGTAGGGGCCCATCAGAATATGTGGATAGGAGCGTAAATGTGCAGAGCTCGGGAGCATCGGACACATTCACCGGGATCCGAAGCCGTCGACAGAGCTTGGAGATGTGTGCGCTGCGCGGGTCACTTCCGCCCAGGGTAACAAAGACTGTGTCAACCACGCGGTCGACTTCTTCCCTCCCCAGGCTGGTCAGGTCATTGTCTTGAAAATCCCGGCGAACCCACTGCACGGAACCACTCTCGATCCGCTCAAGAAGCGTATATTGCAGCCCCTCCTGCGGTTCGGGGGTGATGAGAATGGGCTTTGCGCCGGCCTCAACGCTCTTCGCACATCGAGCGGCAGCCAGCGGGTTGGCTCCAATGATCAAATGCACCTGCGACTCGACGTTGACCGCCGTCAACAACGGCGCGGGGGAGCTGGTATTTGATGCATCCCGCATGATGATTAAGTCGCCACTGCGGACAATGCAGGCTATAATGGGTGGCGTATCTTTCCAACTTCTCTCTTCTCCGATCAGTAGTTGAGAAACCTGAGCACCGGGTAAACGACGTGATTTCTTCGGATACACTCTTGAAACCTGTGACTCAGGATGGTCGATTCAATTTATGGATTCCGAGAGGGTAGAGAGTGCACCTCCGCGGAAATGTTCGACGCAGCGGATGACTAGTGACAACCTGGAGATAAGCACTGCGAATTCTCCCAATTGCCAGCAAAGTATGGTCGATAAGGCTATCTGCGATATGAATCACAACAGAAAAACACAAAATGTCCGCGGCGTCGCAGTCATTTGTCCCTGAGGATTTTATAGATTCGTCGCCCAATGCGGTTAACCTCATATTGCGTGATTGCGTGCTCGGGAATCTGGCTTAGATAAGCGGTCGGCTTACTCTGAGTTACCGGATTGGGTAGGCCTGGGCATGACCAGTTGGTGGAGTCTGAGAAGATGAAATTGATCCATGAAGTTCAGGGCCTCAGGCAGTAAGTCTTGGGAGAGAGGTGGTTCTGGTTGTCCAGTTGCTGAGTGAGGAGACCGGAGATAACCAACCACATATAATGCGTGCCATTCATCTTACTGGCGACATTTATAATAAAAATAATAAATAGAAATCCAACTGAGGACACAGGAGATCAATCCGGCGAAAACCACATTGTTCATGAGAGGACAGTAGCAAAGCTGTAAATAACACCATCCATGGTGTTCAGATGGAGGTTGCTGGACACTGTTCGGTCACGTGATGCAGCTGGGAGCTGCACGTCAGAGCTCCGAAGCCCGTCCATCCATGCTTCGAACAATCCGCCTTCATCATATCCTCCCATCCCCATCTTCTCGCCCATTTCCACGTCCTCTTTGTGTGATCATACCCAATACTCCTTAGATACCCCTTTCTTCAGATCTACAATCTCTCTACTTACAGTGACGCCTCGTCACCATGTCCGAAACCTTGTTGAAGCCGGAGAAGGACTTCTCCAAGGATGCTGACAAGCTAATCCCCGAGGCAGAGCAGCTTGCCAAGGTCGGCGCACCAGCAATCTTGAAGCTCACAAAATGCTGACTATCTATAGACTGATGTGCAAGGTGCCATTGACAAGCTTCTGGTGTTGGAGAAGCAGGCCAGACAGGTGCGACCCTCCTTGCCCCCGTCCGGCGACAAGTCCGCGTCTAACTAGCCCATCTCCAGGCTTCCGATCTGTCCACCACATCCCGAATCATCGTTACAATCGTCACAATCAGCAAGGACTCCGGCGACTGGACCCTCCTGAACGACCAAGTGCTGCTGCTCTCGAAGAAGCATGGTCAGCTCAAACAAGCTACAACGAAGATGGTACAGGTGGTGATGGGATTCCTGGACGAGACCCCCAACCTGGAGGTCAAGCTCTCAGTCATCTCCACGCTGCGGACGGTGACCGAGGGAAAGGTCAGTCGCACACCATCCTGCGCTCAAATCAAGCCAGGTTCGCTCGCTAACTGCTGCCTTGCCGCACTAGATCTTCGTCGAAGTCGAGCGCGCCCGTGTCACCCGTATCCTCTCCAACATCAAGAAGACCCAAGGCGACCTCCAGGCGGCCGCCGATATCCTCTGCGAGCTGCAGGTAGAGACGTTCGGTTCGATGAGCCGAAGAGAAAAGACAGAGTTCATCCTGGAGCAAGTGGCCCTGTGCATAGAGCGGGGTGACTGGACGCAGGCCACGATCCTCAGCCGCAAGATCAACAGGCGGTACTTCGCCCGCAAGCCGAAGAAGAGCGCCGAGGAGATCGAGAAGCTGAAGAAAGAGGCCGAGGAGCGGGAGAAGACCCGCCAGCCCGATGAGCCGCCGATGGAGGTGGACGACGATGTGACCGACCTGAAGCTGCGCTACTACGAACAACAGATCATCCTCGCCAACCACGACTACAAATACCTGGACGTGTGCAAGCACTACCGTGAGGTGTTGGATACGGACTCGGTTCAGAACAACCCCGAGCAGCTTCACGCGGTACGTTTTTGACCTCCTACATCCTTTGGGTGGTCCCTGCTAACGGTGTTTCTCCAGGTTCTTGCTCGCATCGTGTACTACATTGTCCTTTCGCCCTACGACAACGAACAGTCGGACCTCCTGCACCGGATCCAGCAGGACTCGCGCCTGTCGTCGGTGCCCGTCGAGGCCCGCCTGGTGAAGCTCTTCACCATCCACGAGCTGATGCGGTGGCCGATGGTGGCGGAGCAGTTCGGCCCGCACCTGTGCCAGACCGATGTCTTCAAGGCGCAGCCGAGCCAGTCGGCGGAAGACCAGGCCCACCGACGGTGGCAGGATCTCCGCAAGCGGGTGATCGAGCACAACGTGCGGGTGGTGGCCAAGTACTACACGCGCATCCAGATGGGCCGGTTGACGGAGCTGCTGGACCTGGCAGAGGACGAGACGGAGAAGTACATCAGCGAGCTGGTGACGTCCAAGACGATCTACGCCAAGATCGACCGTCCCGCACGGCTGGTCAACTTTTCGAAGCCGCGCGACGCGGACGACGTGCTGAACGAATGGAGCAGCGACATGAAGAGTCTGCTGGGACTGTTGGAGCGGATTGATCACCTGATCACCAAGGAGGAGATGATGGCTCGGATCCTTCCCACTCGGGGCGAGAAGGGCAAGGCTCGTTGAAATAGTGGGAAACGATGTACAACGAGAAAACCCGATGTTAGAGGATTAGGAATGGTATGACGATTATCTATAGTAGTCTCACACACACTGTCTCTCTCTTTACACACCCAACATCTATTAATCTAACCCCGTAAACAAACTCAAAACGGCAACTCCATATCATTAACATCCTCATCCATGACCCCCTTCTTCTTGCCTCCTTCCTCGGCCTCCAAAACCTCCCGAATGAACCGAACCACCGCATCCAAATACGGCCTCTGACTCGGCACAAAATGCCCGCCGGGATGGAACACGACCCTGCCCTCAACCTCCGGATCCCCCAGACACGCCTCGATCAACGCGCGACTCCGCCCCTCATCCACCACGGCATCCAACGTGCCCAGCACATGCAAGACGGGCGTCTTGATCCCGGGCTCATAGAACGCGCGATACCGCGGCCCCGGCGCGCGGAACCCACTATAGCACACCGCGAACTTCAACGGGCCCTGCTTTTTGTGCCTGTTCCCGCCACCATTTTCCCCGGCACCACTACTACCATCCGCCAACACCGCCCTCAACGCCTCGGGCACCTTGAACCCCTCCACCCCACTCCACTCCGTGCCCCTGCACGCAGTCTCGGGATCCTCAAACCCCTCAAACACCGTCAACCGCCCGGTCTCCAGCAATGACGCCACCATGGCCGCCATCGCGGCGCCCTGCGAGAACCCCACCACCGCGTCGAAGGGGCCCTCGTCCCGGATAACCTGCGCCAGCGTGGTGAGGCCTTCCTCCAATCCCGAGTACAGAGGGGGGTTGGCGGTGTTGGAGCGGCGGAACCAGCCGTAGGCCTCGGGGTCTTCGACCTCGTCGGTGGACGCGATCCCGCCTTGGGTGGTCGGGGGCTCGTAGCCCGGGATGTCGGACGCTAAAAGGCGGTGCGGGCCGGTCGGGTAGCTCGTCGTCACGGTGTAGGTTGGGCTGAGGGCTTTGGTGAGGTGCTTGATCACGGCGCGGGTTTTGGCGTGGAAGAGGGGGCCCGATTGCGTGTAGCCGTGCAGGCAGAGGAGTTTGAGGGGAGTTCCTGGGGGTGGCATTTTTGCAACTTTAGATTGGAGGGTTGGAAGAGAGGCTCCGAAGGGGCATCAGTGGAAGTTTGGAGTCTCCAAGAGAGGGAGGGATATAGTAAAAGGATGAAGAAAAGAGAGACAAATGCCTTTGATTAAGTGAGTTACTCAGTGATGCGGAGTCAGAGTAGAGAAGGATGGCGGCGATAAGATAAGAGCCCGGCGGTGCCATTGGATTTCTGCCGCTTTTTGGGGGGCGGTGATCAATTGAACAGTTTCAGCGGCCGAGTTTCACCCGTGGTAGTGATTCTGCCGCTCTGGCGGGGGCGGTATGAAAGAAACCATTTTCATCGAGCGAATTTCGCCCGTGGTCAAGGATTCTGCCACCGCAAGGCGGTAACTGAATAAACAGTTTCGCTGCCGGCCGACTTTCTCCCGTGGTAGGAATTCTGCCACCACAAGGCGGTAACAAGTTGAACAGTTTTCGACGGCCGACTTTCCCCCGTGGTCTGTATAATTCTGCCGGCTCCCTCGGAGGCGGTATGAAAAAAACCACTCTCAGCGCCGAGTTTTGTCCCGCTGTACTACAGTTCTGCCGAAGATGCGACGGCCACCGCTCCCTATTGACTGCCAACACTATGCAGATAAGGTCATCACAAGGTCTTTAATTATCATCTTCTCTTTTTTCAATGCAATGACATAATAACGAACTACCTAGGTTGACAGCGTAGCAAGAATATACTGACTACAGCTTAAGATCCTCCTTCCTGCTGCCAAAGACAGTGGCGTGTCTCCGAATCGATCCACCGTCTGTAAGCCCGAGGTATGATGCGTAGTGTATGCCCAGGAAGTCGCCAGCGGAAGTCAGGCACGCCGACTCCACGTTGTTCAACGAATAGAGTCTGCGCGATGCTAGCCACTGTACCTTTTGTTCTGGAAAGGCCTGAGTGCCAAATCTACCATTCTTCTGTGATGTACCCCCGAACATATGCTTGCCGAGGTCTTTTGCAGCGAATCGAAAAGCACATAAAATTTTCGCCGCCGGCGCAGCTTGTCGAAAGAAGGGCAAGGTCCGGCTCCAAAGGAGTCGAAGGACGGATACTGCAGGCGAAAAATAGACGCCATTCCAACATGACCCCAGGGGAAATACCTAGCTCGGTTCTCTCTGAGAAACTCCTGCACCGTATAATGAACTAGGCGACAAATGCTGCCTCTTTCATCGATGGTTACTAAGCCGGCGCATATCGAGAGGATGTACGTGGGTGCAGTAAGTGCATTATCATCGATATTGAGGTCCCCTTCCCGCACGGCCAACAGATGCTGAAGTTCCTTGACACGAAGCGGTCGCGATGCATTGACGATCCAGAGTAGCATTTTCTCGGCTAAACGAACGGCCTCCGGATTTTGACTCTTCAACTTTCCCATCGCCTCCTGGTATATCGCTCCCGAGCTTTTTGGAAGATCTCTCAGGGCTTCACGAAAACTTCGCACGTTATGCTTCGTTGCGAGGTAGCTCGCGTGGGATCGAGCATGCAAGAACCTACACGTGTCGGACAAGTCTTTCAGTAAATATCCCAAGGGCAGACAAGCAACCAAGTCACTCACTGTATGGCGCTCATTATAGGCGCAACATATACATGCTACTCCTGCATCCACACCTTCAGATTTCTGCTGAAGATGCTCAATGATAGCGCACGCGAAGACTGTCTTCCTATCCCGGGACAGTATAATGTCTGATTTGGTGTATCTTTCCAGCATAAAAAGGCATTTGAGCCCCACCACGATCAATGTTAGTGCTCCGTCTTCCGAAATTATCGTTTGCTATGCGGACTAGTCCAATGGTGGGATCCAAAACAGGACTTTATCATAGACCCATCTTCTGCAACTCAGTTCTAAATCCTAGTCTGTGGTGAGAAGACTTCTATCTTCCTGAACAGAGATGGCGCAGATCCAGCCAACCGTATAAGCTCTCGGGCTAGACATGATAGCCGATAGATAGAAAGTGACATGGCTCCAGATGGAGGAACAGAATGGGTGGAGGAAGAAGTCAGGACAGCCTGATCAGCTGCGCGAGCTGACTGACAGCATAGCCACTCTGCGCTCCGGTCTTAGCTAAGAGCCACAGAAAAGAGCCTCATAGGGACTGACGGCCATTGGGACCAACATACTGCAGATACTAAGTCTCAGATATGTCTTAAAGAAGGTTCATCATGGTGGGTGTCTTCCTTTGTGAGGGCTAATGTTCGCGGTACTGTACATCTGTCTCAGACTTGGCGGGTATGAGATAAGTGACGAGGCACTATCACTGGTAAGATTTCATGCTTCTCTATTGCATCGTATGTACTGGACCGCATATGAAGATCAGCATTACTCTCGATGGTGATAGCATGTAAGCCCAACCCAGAAGCACAATAAGTATAAGGTTGGAAGGCGAGACAAAGCCGATGAAGTAAAACATCTTCTCTCTACATATTCATACTTCCCGCATCCCGGACTGACCTTATCGATAAGCGGAACGCCAAGCGGGCAATTATGCGCTTTACCATTGTCGTCACATGCTAGACCCGAACAAGAGATCCGCTAACACAGCCTCGTGAGGTTAGAATGCGGAGAAGGTTCAATAAGGATCATGGATGTCTTACCCTCCTGAGTCTGACCTGATGTTCATCCGAGTTGACCTTATTGAGTCACCTTTGAAACTGGGGGATGTCAGAAGTTACTGTGGACAGACAAGAGTAAGTGGTTCATTGTCCTAGAGGAAGGCGTCTACGTCATTCATACAAGATACACAATGTACTCACTACAGTCCCGAGCACAAGACCAACTTCCAGACCCATCCCCGGATACTCTTGCCTAGTGTCTACACTACTGCGGGGTGTTGAGTGGAGCCGTTACAATGGTCTTATCATACTGGGGCAGGAAATATCATGCCTAGATTACGAGTGCAAAAGACCATGAACAAAACATACGATTGCTACCCGCACGGAGAAAGAGATACAGTACCACCTTGGGATAAAAAGCCTCTTCAGGTCTTGATTCCCGAACCAACGATTGTTCCGTCACGAGATAGATGTCGAATGCCGAGTGCCAAGTGTCGTATTCCCGGGTCGCATCTGCTGCTGACCATCAATCCACTTCCATAGTCGTCCCCAGTCCCTGTGGCATCCCGGCATAGCTCGTGCAATCGTGGCGGTGGTACTGCATGTCGTGCTCCGGATTGTTGGTTTTGTGAAGAATTGGCGATGTACATCCGTCAATAGAATCAACGTGGGTACATGGAAGAAATATCAAACAATCAAGTCGAAGAAGGAATTCAGATAAATGGCAATAGAAACTGAAGAAGGAATTTGTCTCTCTCGAGGACCGAATCATGGTTGTCAACTGTAGTGTCTCTTTGATTCGTAGTTGCCAGATATCCGGAACGCCCCTCTTTTGAACGTGAACAGAGAATAGGGAAGAAAAGCAAAAGTGATAAAACCGAAGAATTGCTTTTGTTTTCTGAAGTATGGAAAAAAAGATATAGGTATGGCTGGTCAAAAATTGTCTTTTTTTTCATTTCCCTTGGGCAAGGGAGGGTTCTCTGCGGGGGGGACTGCTTCTCGCACAAAAAAGGGGGGCGAGGATTCCATCTTCTATCTGAAATCTTGCTTTCCTTCAAAGAAAAAACGAGATATATTAATCCATCATCATCGAAGAACGCCACATTGCTTTCATCATCGCTCCGACCACGGGAGGTTTTTATTGCGCGCGATTATCGATACATTTACTTGCGGCGGAAAGAGCAGCCCTCAGTGAGACGGGCCTTACCACCGGTGGGCTGGCACAGGACGGTGGAGCAACCGGCGCAGACGACGACAGTCTGGGCGTGGGAGAAGACGGTGGTGATGGTGAAGCAGCCGGGGCACTTGACGTCCATGAAGAAGGAGCGGGGAGCAGGCACAAGTTGCTGTTGTTTCGCCGAATATCTTAGCCAATAGTTCGAGGTCGGAATATCAAATCCATTATTTTTTCCATTTCCATCCGGGTATCAGCATACCTTGAGCTTGTGCTTGCGGGCCTCAGCCTGAGGCGTGGGGTTGAGGAGGTCGACCGCGAGAACCTATTGATGTATCATCCTGTTAGCGAAGGTATTCCTTGACCAAGTCCGTTCGAGCAAAAAAAATTTCGATGGTTCGGCGATAAGGTGGCGGCGGCGACGTTAAGGCACTGAGGGGATAGCGACATGACAGTCGGTGCAGCCGGTGTGCATGCTGGACGTGGGGATGTGTTGCGTGTTGTATCGAGAGGGCTTTAGGATGGATAGGGACCTACCATCTTGACGAGACAAAAAGTCGATCAGCGAGGGAGGTTGAATGAGGGCGCTGATGATGATGGCCTGCTTGAGGGTGAAAGCAAAAAGGTGGACTCGTAGAGAGGGCGAGGATTGAAGGGAATTCTCGACGGCGTCACCCAGCCAGCCCGTTTGGGGGCAAAATAGGGTTGCAACCCTCTCGCTTACCCTGCCGCTTCAGGCAGCTGGGGGGCCCGGCCCGTCTGTTCACCCCGTGCCGCCCGCCCTCTCCGCCAATCGACTCGCGCTTAGCTCAGCTTTCAAGATCCTACCATATCCTTCAAGGTCCTTCGGTCATTCTCAGCTTCTATGTATACAGATGCATATCGATGTATTGGATACGGCTGAAAGATTCCGCTAATAAGAATGATATACGCTGCTTGACTCTTAACTCATGACTAAACAATGATTCAACCGGGCGACATGTACCCGACACATCCACCCCCGGCACAATACTCACGACATCATTATCCAATGGCGCACCTCCATGCATACTAAGTTGACTTCGCCACTTAACGCTCGCATACCACCGTCTCTATCATACACCGCAAGCCACTCCTCCATCGCGATATTACTTCCGTCATGCGACACCAACATGCGATACTCTAGTTCGTTTTCTTCGGGGCTCCGTTTGTGATAACCACCTCCACACGCGGTTGTGGATGCTTGATAGTCAAGCACCAGATGTCGACGTAGTCACATATCGTCGTGATGATATCATGCTGGATACGATCAGCGCCCTTCCGCCCACTGGAGGGATTGTCAATACTCACCACGAAACTACCATACACACCAATCGACAGACCCAAACACACCCACAGGAAAGCGGCCTGGCCAACCTCACCACCAAGCAAGCTCGACCAGACCCCGTACTTGTCGCCACCACTGTCGATTGTAGCCAGTGCGAGAGGCACCAGGAGCATGTTGAAGTATGGGAAACTGGTTTTGGTCAAATGCGCGATGATCATCCTGCCCACCGCGTACGCGTTGACCAGGCCAACGTACAAACAGAACGGGATGGCGTAGTTTTCCAGGATGGTCGGCTGGAGATAGAGGTAGGCCGGAACAAAGGTCCACACGGCCACCAGCGGAAGGAGGCCGAAGAGAGGCTTGATGGGGTCTTGGCCACGCTCGCTGCGAATCTTCATGACATGCACGATGCTGGAACCGGTGGCGAAGAAGAGGAGAACCGCACCATAGACCATGTACCACTGCGTAAAGGCCATTCCGTAGAGCTGGTCCGGCAGGAAGTCTGGCTTGGGGAGTCCGATGGTCTCCAGCATGGGCTGGTGCCAGAAGCTACCCCCACCCATGTATGCTGTAAACCCAAACACAACGCAGAGAGTGAGAACACCCTCAACGGGGCCGGAGATGATTCCTAGGGTCAGTACCTGGGTGTAGTACTCGTCCCAGGTCTGGACATAGAAGGTCATGGTCGCTGCTACCGTGTCAGCCTCTCAGCGGCTCATTCCCCCCTGGAGTAAAGAACATACATCCAAAAAGAGTCAGGATCGTAGCCCATGACTGGCCGAGGTTCATAGCCGCACAGAAGATCAGGACTCCCAAGGCGGTGTTGCAAGCATCGACGCCTGGGGAAAAGCACTTAGGTTCCATACTCGCTTTCATACAACCCTAGATCTTCCAACTTACTGTGATCAAACAGCTCCCCCAGAGGGCCGCTTTGCTTCGTTCGCCGCCTGCGTGGTTCCATTTAGTGTCCTGTCTACCAGTAGAAAGAAGGGCGCGAGGGGCTTTTTCATACGCTTGGATGCCATCTACACCGTCGAACGTCTGATAGAGGAACAACCCGAGGGCGCAACTGGCATAGACCCAGGAAGGACAGTCCTGGTCTAGGGTCGGGTTGTACCATAGGATGGTGATAAAGTTGACTACCACGAAGAAGAAGCCGGTCAAGGTAATCTGCCGGTCCTCCGTTATTATGTCTCGTTCCGGCTGCAGAACGATCAGGCCAGATAACTTACAGCATTAGGACTGAGGCCGTGAGAAGAGGTCGTTAGCAAGAGGCATGCAGCCGGTGAGAACAGCATCAACAACTACTTACGCCATGCTCATCGGAAAGAACTTAATGACAAAATCATTGTAGAAGGGCTTCAGGATATAACGACTGACGAGCGAGTGGTCCACTCCTGCATAGCGATACTGCCGCAGAGCGGGCAGTTCGTGCTGGCGTATGTACACCATCTTGCCTGGTAGTGCGTGCGATTGTAATGCAAGCCGGAGTTTATCCCTTCGAACTACAAGAATCGATACGGTACGTCCGATGAATCAAGTGCAGAATGCGAAAGGCCGGGTATGTCTTGTCCTTGTTATTCTTCACGCGCGGGAAAGGTAGCCTATTAGGCGGCAAATTAAGATTGATGTCAGAATGTCCAGATGTCCCGGAAGTAGGAAGGGAGAGAGGACGTCAGAATAGGAGTCAACTTCGAAAAGGGTCGGAAGTCGATTTGAAGATGAAAGATAAAATGATAAAAGAAAAGAAAAGGAAGAGGAAAGGCTAAGACAAAGGGAGGTGCCGAAGAAGGAAGAAGAATAAAAAGCAGACGATGATGTTGTTCGCTTTTCAACCATGAATTTTTCCTTGGTTGTTTTGATTTCCCAACGACCCTCTTTTTTTTTCTGCCGGCGGAAAAGATGCTTGATGCAAAGGCGGGGAGGACAGCCAGTCAACATTCAACACTTCCTTCTACGGACTGTAGTTACACTTCTCTAGGGCTGCAGACTCGCAGAGAAAGAACCTCACCGCACATCGTCGAGAGATTCGATCCCTTGGCGAAGTGGCGCACGTGCAGCTGTACCTTTGATTTGCTGGTTCAATGGTTTGATATGACTTCACTAGGATAAAGCACCATGCATCACTTATTATAGCATTCTTCCTTGTGCCGTCCGGGGCTTAGATCGTCGTCAACCGAAATGACCAATGTCCCCCCGAAGTGGGGTTGGCTAGGAAATACCACCAGTATTCCCTCTCGCCATTCGACCCGAGGTAACATTTGACACCCAACTCGACACCGTGACTCGGTCGCGTACAGAGCGGGGATGGACTCACTTACGCTAGCTCGGCTAGCACAATAAAGCGGGACCATGGGCCGCGACTTGATATTGGGCCCATCTTTGACCCTAAAGCGTTTAGGCTATCTCGACAATAATTTGACTACAAGATACGTAGAAAAGGTAGAAAATGTAATTGAAACAGGAACAAAGAGGGAACAAAGAACATAGTTTCAATATATGCTAATTTAGACACAATACACCGTGGGCACAGCGGCTGGTTAAAAGAATGTGTAGATAAAGACCAACGAGGTCAAGGACTCCCTCAGTTCCAGGATTCGTGGAAGAAAGGACAAAGCTGGGTTGCCCCACGCTCCTTCTGTCGAACCGCTCACTGGCGGTTTGGATCCTCGCCCTCTTGCCCTGTCCTGATCCATGGTGCATGGATTGCAAAGGAAGCCCGCAACCTGGGCGGTTCTGCATGCTTGGCTAGTTCGCTCGGACGGTTCTGTCTTGTGATCACCGATCCTTCTTCCCCGCAGCCTACCCAATCTCTTTAGCCGACAGGGCTCCACGGCATCGGGATCAAGATCCGGCTCTGCATGCTCTGGATCAATGGGACGGTCTTGTGCACGGTCTCCGCCCAGCCTTCAATGCCCCAGGACTGTTCGCGGCGAATCTTCCGCTCCTCCAGGTTGGCAAATTGCCAGAGATGGTGCACGGTGTTCAAATCTCCGATCTGCACAAACCAAGCACCGACTCCCTCCATGACCTCACGACGGGCGGTGAGGCCGCGACGCCAATGTGTCTCCCACTCCAAAAGATTCCCAGGGTGAAGAGTATATGAGCGAAGTTCGAACAAGCCACCGAGGCGTCGGGGAGGGGTTGTGGGCCAGAAGGAAAACTCCTGCATGAGTGACGTCTTCTTGCTCTTGATCAAGCTCTTCAGCTTCCGGTCAAAGGCTTCGAACTCGGGATGAGAGGCGATATTGTGCAAGGATGCGTGGTAACCTTCGTATCGCTGGTATTCCCAGATGTGGACTTCAATCGAGCTGTTAGTACGCAGACTGGGACCAGCATCACTAAGAACGTCGGCTATTATAATTACCAAAAGTGTCGTTGTCGCCGACTTGGGTACGCCAACTTCCGACTAGGTTGACCCTGTTCTCGGGCTCGGTCGCCATGCGAGGATACCACTGGCCAACGAGGTTGACATATTCATCGACTTTGTCGGGCTTGACATCGTGGAAGACAATGGAATGGACGTATTTGCCTCGGGCGAGCACTTGCGAGAACGACCGTTCGATGTCCTTGTCGAGCTGCTGGCCTTCCTTCGTTCCGTAGATGAGCGACGACAGCGGACCGCGTTTCGGAGACTGGCTAGATTCCAGCAGCTGTTCGTCTTCTAATTTATGATACGTAGAGAGTGAGCCCAGTGCCTTCCCAACAGGTACATCTGCAGCTTCAAGGTCGGGGCTGTTGTTACAGCTTCCATTGCTCTCGAGCGGAGCAGTGGGAGCGGTAGCGTACTCACGGAAGCGGTCACGAATTGAAGGGGATGATGCAGAGGAAGAAGCAGAAGCATCGACAGACTGACTCTCTTGCTGTTCTCTCTTCTTGCGAGACACCTCAAGGTTCTCGCGAAACTCCTTTTGCCGTGCGTTAAACTCAGCAGCCGAGTCGGGGGTGAGATCACGGATGGAAGGGGCACGGAAGGCAGCAACAGAGGAACTGAAGGGGCGAGCCAGCACCGAAGCTGGACGAACCACGCGTTGTGCGAACATGGCTTATGCTTTTACAACAAGCAGCTGCCCAAAGGCTAGAAATTCAACTGGAGACAAATAGAAGACAATGGTGGGTGAAAAGACGCTGGCAAAGGAAGGGTCAACCGTATGATCAACCCAAACACAGAGCAGTGAAAGCAACAGGGAAGGATTGTAGGAGAGGGGTTTAATAAGTAGGGAGGGGGAAGACACAGAGGCTGAGACACAAGGGGACAGGGATATATCGAGGCCAGCACGCGACAACTTAGTGACCTGACCGAATGGCTGAGAGGAAGGAGCACGGCAGGAAGTATCGCTGAGAACCAGTCGGGTAGCAAGCGTTGGAGGCCAGGATTAGCAGCAAAGAGGAACTGGTGGAATTGTCCGCGGCGGGAGCGGAGTAGAATTAATCCTGGGGATCAGGAAGATACTGGTTGGTAGAATTGGGACGGGGTAGGTGGTGGTGGTGGTGAGGGATCAAATAACACTGGTTAAAAAGGTAAGAGGCGTGGATGTGGAAGAGGAGGTGAAGAAGAAGCAGAAGAAGAAGAGCGGAGGGCGAGCTGAGAGCTGCGAGGTACCCCCGAAGTACCGTAGGTGTTTTTGGAAGCTGGGGAAAGTCGACCGTCACTACTAGTTACGGAGCAAAGTGCGGGGAAATCGGCCAGTAGTGCTGACCGTGGGTGAGATTACTTGGGTATTATTGCCAGTCATCACCTGTTCTTATATGATTACCACCAATCTTGGCCTCCAGTGAAGTAATCCATATGACCGAGTGATCCTAGGCCCTGCATCCGCTCATCCTGCCGAAAAGGATCTAGTAAAGCAGCTCTCCTGATAACGGAAGAATTGCGGATGATTCGTCACCGTCTGGACTCTGCCGCGATCTTCAGTCCAACAACGAGTATTACAATGGTTGAGACCACCATGACGAAACAAGTGGCTCCTCAAGCTCCTTCCGCCCTATCAGTCTTGACGGGTAAAACTTCATCATCTTGTCCAAAGCACCTAGCAGTACTATGAGTACTAGTTTTGAGCTATTTTGCCCCTGTCACAATTTCCATAAGCATTAAGCAGCGAATCATCGGATCAAAACAGAGCTCGATCTCAATGACGTCGACGGCAAGCGAGCGTTGCCAGACAAGCAACGGGTGTTAGGTAATCGACTCGGCCCGCCTGGTGATCCGCGCTCAACCGCTCATCCCCAATCTGGATTAGTGATAGTGAGCTGCTCTGGCTTCCGCAGCCCCTCCACTTGCGCTCCTCCATTCTCAGCTGCTCTTGATCGGTTTACAGGTTATACTGAGAGTCACGTATCACCTACAATACAGGCAGGGCTTCGGAATAAGTTACATCTACAATCACCACCATGGCAGACCCCAACAACCCTCCCCTGTCGTACGAGGCGTCCGCCTCGACCTGCCACCCGCATGTCGCCAGCACCTTGCCTACGGAGGTGGTCTCCAGCCTCAAGAACTCGCGCTTTGTAAGTCCTTGCTAGCTGTCTACTCAGACTCACGGGTTACTCTCTAATCCCTCACTAGCTTCATCTTGCAACCACCGATGGCATGACCCCCCACATCTCCCTCATGTCATACACCTACCTACCATCCACTCCGTTCGACCCATACCCCACGATTATCATGACCACCAACCCATCGTCTCGCAAGACCAACCAGATTCTGACAAATCCTCGTGTCTCCCTTCTGGTCCACGACTGGGTCTCCCACCGTCCTCCTACGCGCGCACCCCACCCCGGGGGTGACCGAGAGGGCTCTCCGCCACCCGCAGCCACCCGCTCATCCTTGGCTAGCCTACTGCTGAACTTGAACACGAGTGCGCTGTCGAGCATCTCCACGACAATTGCCGGTACTGCCCGGGTCCTGGAGCCCGGTTCGGAGGAGGAGGAATGGTGCAAGACACAGCACTTGGAGAACAACACTTTCGAGGAGGAGATCGGCACGTTCGGACAGCAGCTCCAACAACAGCCGGGAGCCAGAAGGCCGAGCATCTCGATTGACAGTGACGTGCGGGTAGTGACTGTGCAGGTGCGGGAGGGACGTATTGCGGACTGGAAGGGAGGGGTGCGTGATTGGCAGTTGGTTCGTGAGGGCGAGTCGCAGGAGACCTTGATCAATGGAGTTGCGCCTGCATGATTTCGAGTTGCAGTCCTTTCTTTCTCAATGTTTCCACCAATTCAAACCCCGCATTGTCTACTCTGTCCAACCCATATCTTGTCCATATCAGTGGCTTGGAGGAACATATGTCCAAAAGTCCAGTGACTATATCTGCGTATTATCAAACCCAACATGTCTACACAGTGATTTTAGCTTTCAAGCCCATCAGCATAGTCCAGAGATCTCAATCGAGGTGGTCATCTCTAAAATAAGGTAGCTGCCATCACATGATCTTCCGGCCAGCAAGCGGCGGCAAAGTTAACTCTCCCACCGACTCCGTCCCAAACCTAGTTTCCCGCGGTGACGTCCATCCATCAATGCGCTCGAATCTTCTCCGCCCGCGAAAACCATCATCTCCAGCTCCTCTCCTCCAACTTTGAAAGCCCTTAATCACAAGCCAATTGCCCTTCTCCCCAAACATCAATGCTATGAAAAACTCCTCCCGCACCCTCTAAACAACATACACCCAACCGCCAAACCCACACACCATCATCCCCCAAAGCAAAATCCAAAATGCGCCTCGCCCACATCCACTACCCGGACCTAACCTCCTTCACGCGCATCTCCCACCTCCAACAAACCCTGACCACGCGCCTGCTCACGCACAAGAAACTGCTCTCCTCGGCGAACGACACCACCACGCCCCCGCCCCCGCCCCCGGACCCAACAATCATCACCTTCACCCCGCACCCGGTCTACACGACCGGCCGCCGCGACCTCCCGCCCTCGAACACCAGTCCGCGCGACACGACCACCACCGCCGGCGCTGCACCCTCCAGCACAAAAGAACCCCAACCCCAACCCCAACCCCACAACACGCTCTCCCTTTCCCTCCCTCCACCCCTCGAACAAATCCGCCCCCTCCTCATCCCGCCAACGCCCTACCCCACCCCCCCATCCTTCCCGAGATCGCCGGGCTCGCCCGAGAAAGCAGAATACCACCCCACCCTCCGCGGCGGCCAGACGACCTACCATGGCCCGGGCCAGATGGTCGCGTACACGATCCTCGACCTGCGGCGCCTGGGGCTGACCCCGCGCTGCCACATCCGATTGCTGGAGAACAGCGTGATCGACGTGCTGGCCTCATACGGGGTGCGGGGCCTGGTGACGGAGGATCCGGGCGTGTGGGTGCATCCCCCTGCGCCGCTGCCCGGTCAACAGCGGCACAACACCGGCACCGATGACGCACAGCTACCCCACAAGATCACGGCGGTCGGGGTGCATCTGCGGCGGAATATCAGTAGCTTCGGGATCGGGTTCAATGTCACCCAGGAGCCCATGTGGTGGTTCCGGCAGATCGTGGCGTGTGGGCTGGAGGGCCGCGAGGCGACGAGCCTGGCGGGCGTCGGGGTGCGGACGGACATCCCGACGGTGGCGGGCCGGTTTGTCGAGGCGTTTGTGCGGCGCGTGAATCGGGATTTTGCGGTCCAGGGCGGGAAAGGGAAGGGGGAGGGGATTGAGGAGGTGTATACTGTTGCGGAGGAGGATTTGTTGAGGGAATAAATCAAATAAAAAGTAACCATGGGGTATGGCCTTGGGTTGGGGAGTTATCCAAGGGATATTAGATTAGACACGGTATTAATACTCGTACTCATAGGTTGTTTTCTCGATCTATGCTTAGGACGATGGATGATATAGATATAATGATGTAGATATCTGCCTTGAACATCTCTTGCACGCTTTCCGGAACAGAAAGCTTCGGGGTCACGCAACCATGACAGTAAGTGTACACGATTAATATGAGGACGATGTGACAGAGAGAGAAAGAAGTATATATAGGGAAAACAGACATAGGGCGATCAAATGCAAAGTACGACAGGCTGAATTTGCGGCGAAACAAGGTCTTTCGAAGGTTCAAGCAAGATCCTCCCGAACTGCAGGCACGTATCCAGGGCAACTGATCCAGGTCGGTTTTTGTCGAACCATAGAGGGGAATATTGAGAACGGGTATAATAATAGAGCAGAAAAAAGCAAAGAGCGACCGAGACCCAGCAGGTCTACAGAATGATACACCGATCCCCGGAGCCGTTCGACCCCTGAGTTTTCACCTCCAGGGCCACCTTGGCTGCTTCGTAGAAAGTCTCCATGATGCCACGGTTCTGCACGGCGGAGCATTCTGCAGGTCATATGTCAGCAAGGCATGAACCGCCGCAGGGGCGCACAAAACAAAAAGACTCCGTACCCAGGTATTTGACGGCACCAATCTCTTTGGCCTTCGCAAGGCCCTCTTCGTAGGCGATGGCGTTGGGGTTGTCGTTCAGGAACTCGTCCTTTCTCAGGTCACATTTCAGTGCCGTGAGGACCAGCTTCACGCTGGGGCAGTTCTCGGAGATTTCCTCGATCCATTTGCTGGCCACGTTCTCGAACGAATCGCGACTGTCGACCTAGTACGGGGTCAAAATCGCAACACAGAGCCGTTCGCATCGGTCCTCCTTACGCTAAAGCAGAGCATGATCACATGCGTATCCTCGTATGATAGCGCGCGCAGTCGGTCGAACTCTTCCTGGCCGGCGGTATCCCAGAGCGACAGTTCCATATGTACATTGTCGACGAAGATGTCTGTTGGCGAGAGAATGAGTATATAGGAGTAGCCAAGGCCGATATCGGGCGGGGAGGTAGCTACCATGTACATAGTTCTCTAATTTCCAACAACACGTTAGCAAGCATATCATCTCAAGGGAGGAACAGCCAATGCGTACCGAAGACGGTGGGTTCACTATGCAGTCAATGCTGCGGTCAACAAATCAATCGCAAACAAGCGTAAGCGCAAAGCAGGTGTCTCACTAGACCGTGGGGAAATATCTAAAGTGGGAGGATGTTAGTTCGGTTTGGAGAAAACAGGGGGGCTGATCAGATGGCCAAACCCTCTCGTGAAAACATTCAAAGCCGAGGTCTTTCCGCAAGCACCGTCTCCTCTTATCTAGGAAGTCAGCTCTTCAAATTCCCAGCTGGCCGACCGATAAGTTATAGATTGCACTGACAAGAGCACCATCTTCCGGCGCACAACTTTCTGACGCCCACAGAGACTCATTGTGATGGTGAAAGTGAAATGGGGTGTTGGTGGAGGAATCGCAGGAGGAAGAAGGGTCGAAGGGTCCCAACGAAGATAAGGGAGGGAAGGGGGGGGTGGAGGAGAGAGGATGGGAGAGAGGAGAGGGGGGGAGGTTCTAGATCGGGGAACGGGGTTCGACAGCAGCGAGCGGGCGGAGATTTGGTATATGAACGGATGTAAGGTTGTTTGCGTCTGGGTCAGAAGGAAATTATTATCCTATCCTAGGCAGACGAAACTTGAATAATAGGAAATGATGAGGTTTCACGAGGTAGTTGTGACGAGAGTCTTGGTTAGAACCGAACACGAAGCAGAAGATAGTGAGTGAAGAGGAAGAATTACTTAGTAACTGATTATTGACGGGGCGCGAGTCATGGCTGGGCGGCGGAGTTGCAGTGCAGCAGCAGATGTCATCGGAGGCTCCACGAATGAGCCGATCTTCATCTGCCAACTACGCAGTACCGCTGGAATTCTTCAATGTGGCGGCGAGAATATGATATGGTGGCCGTTGCTGCAGCTCTGAAGCATGTCGATCATGAGTTCCTTCAGGCCGTTTGTCTCCTTTTCACCTGTTGGTGTTGATTCCAGTCTACATGGACTTTGGTGGTCAATTGCTTTTGTTTGAGATAACTACATCATGCCTAGACTGTGAGCTGTACAGTACAGTGCTCTATGTAAGAGTATCATGTTTCCCGGGATCATAACTAGTTGACAAGAAAAAGCCTGCGCAATCAGTATGGAGTCTGTCTCAGACTGATTATCGCATGCTGATCGTGTCCACTTGGAAGTATTTTTCTGGGTTAGTAGTCAAGATTGACCACTTGTATATATAATCTGGTCAAATATGCGGAATAGGCCTCCATGAACTCGTACTCAGAGACAAGGCCGGGATGTGTCACTGGTGGCCTTGTCATGCATAGCCACCTAGTAGAATTAAAAGTAGCAGCCTGCTCAACCGTTGGTGCAACACTCAAGAAACTGTTGTGTTCAGCTCCGTGCAGTGGACTGGTGAAGGTGTCCAGTGACTGGAAGTTGACTCCAAATTGGAAGGCGGGGAAGGCAGCAAACCGACCTCTCCGATAGGCGCGGACCGCACCTCCATCGTTGGCTCCATTGGTTCCATCCATTTATCTCATTCCTCTCTCACTTCGTCACGGGTCAACCACTGCATCTCCCATCCCTTCTCCTTAATGCTTTAATCACCTATTCCTATTACTTTTTGTTTTTTTTCTTTAGCGAACTTTCCTTCTACATCTTACTCTCTCAAAATGTCGGACGACGATGATTTCATGCAAGATTCTGGTGACGAGGAGTACGTGCCAGTATTCAACCTGCCGTCGCACCTGGCTGACCGACTCTTAGATATGACTTTGAATACGAAGATGAAGACGAGGACGAGTCGGGCGACGTCGGGATCGAGAACAAATACTATAACGCGAAACAAGTGAAGATAGACAATCCGGAGGAGGCGATCGACGAGTTCCTAGGAGTGCCGGCACTGGAGCAAGATAAAGGCGACTGGTAAGGCCGACATCGAACCAAACAGGTCCAGTCGAGAAAAATAACGAAGCCATGCGCAGGGGATTCAAGGGGCTGAAGCAAGCCATCAAGTTGGAATTCAAGCTCGGACGATACAGTGATGTAATTCCCCTTCACTCACCCTACGTGCGATCAATACTGACTGCTCAGGCGGTTGAACACTACAGGGAACTGCTCACCTACGTCAAGTCGGCCGTCACCCGGAATTACTCGGAGAAATCAATCAACAACATGCTGGATTACATTGAGAAGGGCTCCGACGACGAAAGGGCATACCAGTGCATGGAGGAATTTTACTCCTTGACGCTGCGATCGTTCCAGAACACGAACAACGAGCGATTATGGTTGAAGACCAACATCAAACTAGCCCGACTGTGGCTCGAGCGCAAGGACTATAGCCAGCTGAGAAAAAAGGTACGGGAGCTGCACCGGGCGTGTCAGCGGGAGGACGGGAGCGACGACCCCAGCAAAGGCACCTACCTCCTCGAACTCTACGCACTGGAGATCCAGATGTATGCCGAGACCAAGAACAACAAGCGGCTGAAGGCACTCTAC